AGTTTTAAGCCAGCCTTTTCACTTTCCTAGTAGTAGTGTACTAGTAATAATAACTATTATTTGCTGAGCACCCCCACTAAACTTGGTACTATAGATACACTCATAAGTAAGTCTCAACCTGTCAACTGAAGAAAGTTAGAAAAGTAAACAAGTATAACACAACATTACAGATACTATGACAGGAATGTGCAGAAAAAAGCAGGGGGCAATTAGGGGACTAGTCATCTTGATAGAAGAGGAGCCTGCCTCTTAGATGATACAAACTATACCCTCTCAGTTGAGTAGGTAATACTTACACTCAACTGGACTTATTTGTGGTATTTGTTAAAATATTTCAGAGGCTTTAGTCATACAAAGTATTCAAAACAACCACTGTCAGTAACTGCAAATGCATTTTTACAAGAGATGTTAATTTTCCCTGTTAATATTCTTTACAAAGACTCTTGGGTTAGAGTCAGAATAATGGAAGCCAGGCAAGGAAGAAGGGTGGAATACTGTGATTTGCTGTACATGTACATGGATGGCAAATACTTGGAAAGGAGTATTTGAAAATATTTGAAAGACTAGACTTGGCTAGTCTTTCATAAGCACTGAAATAGAAAAGATGAGGCATATTATGTTTGTTGTGGCCATTCAATATAGGAAGGCCACAGAAGATGGGGAGCAGTAAAGGACCTGCCCACTGACTCCTTGCAAGTTGTATGAAAGCAGCATGGTATTTACAGTTCAATGCTTGTTTCTCTGTGTGGAGCCCTATACTGGATGCCAAGGTAAAAATAACCCAACCAGGAGGCTGAGGTATGGGCACAAGGTGACCCAATGCAGAAAGAGGTAGAGAACCTTAGAAAAGGATTATTTGATGTGCCCTGGAAATTCTGAGGATAGATCCTTGGACTGATGAAGTTAGCCTTCCTTAAGGAGGCAGCATCTCCAGGAATAAAACAATGAAGTCCTCCCAAACTCCTAATGTGGGACTTCTTCAGAGATCCATAGAGTGCAAAAGGCAGTGAACCTCAAACTGCCTTTTTGAAGAAGAAACACGTGAAAGAGGCAGAAACATGACAGTAAAATATCCGTGGAGAGTAATTTTTCAAGTTTATTGAAGAATCCTTTCAAGAAACAATTACATAACTAAGGATCTTGAATATTCCCCCAAACAAGAAATGATGAGAAAGCATAGAAAAGTTTATTTCACAATGTGTAAGCCTTCCACCTTTAGAAGTCACTAAGGAGGATAAAACAAGTGTTGTTAGAAGCAGAAAATACAGAGACAAATGAGGAAACAGGAGTGTTGAATAGAAGTTCAGACACCAGTCATATCCCCATTGCCCAGATGAAGGGACTGAAGTTCAGAGACATTCTCCAACTCCTAAGACATAAATAGGACTCCTTTTCCCCCAACAGGGCAGTTGCAGCCCAGTGATGGGTTTAGCACACATGCCCCCTTGAGCCTTTTCTGAACTGACTTGACAAAACAGAGGCATTTACTCCCCAAAACTCTAAATGATATTTCATCAGGGGACTGTCTCCTCAGCTGGGGCCCTGGTGCAAGGTAATCTCTCTTCTGCCCCTCATTTGCTGAACTGACTTTTTTTTTTTTTTAAGTAGTTCCCTTCAGGCATTATTATTAAGACATCATCCACATACCATAAATGTCACCCTTTTAAAGTGTACAAACCTATGATCTTTAGTATATTCACAAGATATCACCACTGTCTAATGCCAGATCATTTTCATTTCCCCGTAAGGAGACCTGGTCCTCACTAGTAGATACTTCCAACTGTCCCTCCCCTAAACCCCTGGGAACAACTAATCTACTTTCTGTCTTTATGGATTTTCCTATTCTGGATGTTTCATATAAATGAAATCATATAATACATGGTGTTATGTGTCCAGCTTCTTAACAATGTTTTTATGGTTCACTCATGTTGTAGCTTGAATCAGTACTTCATTTCTTTCTTTCTTTCTTTTTTTTTTTGGTCTGGCTTCCCCCCCCCCCCATTTATTTTTATTAGTTGGAGGCTAATTACTTTACAATATTGTAGTAGTTTTTGCCATACATTGACATGAATCAGCCATGGATTTACATGTGTTCCCCATCCTGATCCCCCCTCCCGCCTCCCTCTCCATCCCATCCCTCTGGGTCTTCCCAGTGCACCAGCCCTGAGCACTTGTCTCATGCATCCAACCTGGGCTGGTGATCTGTTTCACGCTTGATAGTATACTTGTTTCAGTGCTATTCTCTCAGAACATCCCACCCTCGCCTTCTCCCACAGAGTCTAAAAGTCTGTTCTGTACATTTATGTCTCTTTTTCTGTTTTGCATATAGGGTTATCGTTACCATCTTTTTAAAATTCCATATATATGCATTAGTATACTGTATTGGTGTTTATCTTCCTGGCTTACTTCACTGTGTATAATGGGCTCCAGTTTCATCCATCTCATTAGAACTGATTCAAATGAATTCTTTTTAATGGCTGAGTAATATTCCATAGTGTATATGTGCCACAGCTTCCTTATCCATTCATCTGCTGATGGGCATCTAGGTTGCTTCCATGTCCTGGCTATTATAAACAGTACTGCGATGAACATTGGGATACACATGTCTCTTTCAGATCTGGTTTCCTCAGTGTGTATGCAGGAGTGGGATTGCTAGGTAGTACTTCATTTCTTTTATGGCCAAACAATAGTCTATCGTAGAGTGTGTTTTGTTTATCCATTTATCACTTGATTGACTTTGGGTTTTTCTACCTTTTGGCTATTGTGAACAGCAGTACTATGAATATTCATGTTCAAGTTTTTGTGTGGACAAATGCTTTTTGTGTTTGTGTAGTCAGTTGCACCTAGGGCTGCAATTGCTGGGTCATAAAAGTTACGGCCAACCTAGATAGCATATTAAAAAGCAGAGACATTACTTTGCCAACAAAGATCTGTCTAGTCAAGGCTATGGTTTTTCCAATGATCATGTATGGATGTGAGAATGGACTGTGAAGAAAGCTGAGTGCCAAAAGATTGATGCTTTTGAACTGTGGTGTTGGAGAAGACTCTTGAGAGTCCCTTGGACTGCAAGGAGATCCATCCAGTCCATCCTAAAGGAGATCAGTCCTGAGTGTTCATTGGAAGGACTGATGCTGAAGCTGAAACTCCAATACTTTGGCCACCTCATGCAAAGAGTTGACTCATTGGAAAAGACCCTGATGCTAGGAGGGATTGGGGGCAGGAGGAGAAGGGGATGACAGAGGATGAGATGGCTGGATGGCATCACTGACTCGATGGACATGAGTTTGAGTACGGGAGTTGGTGATGGACAGGGAGGCCTGGCGTGCTGCGATTCATGGGGTTGCAAAGAGTCAGACATGACTGAGCCACTGAACTGAACTGATGGTAACTCTGAGTTTAACTTTTTGAAGAATTGCCTGACTATTTTTCAAAGGTCTACACATTTTACATTCCCATCAACATTATATGAGGGGTCCAGTTTTGCCACCTCCTCACTAACACTCATTTTTTTATGATAGCCATTTAGTAGGTATAAAATAATATCTCCTTGTGGTACTGATTTTCATTTCCCTAATGACAAATGATGTAGAGCATCATTTCATATGTTGTTAACCTTTGTATATCTTCTTTGGAAAAATGTCTATTCAAATTCTTTTCCCAGTTTTCCCAGTTTTTAATTGGGTTGTCTTTTTATTGTTAGGTCATAAAAGTCCTTTATTCTGATTACAAGATCCTTATCAGATATATGTTTGCAAATACTTTCTTTCATTTTGTGGGTTTATATTTCTTTGAACTGTCCTTTGAAGCATTGCTGGACTACTTTTAACAAATACTAAAACATCTTAAACTAAATTAGGAATATGTAATTGTGTTTGAATTATACTTTTAAATTTAATAAGCATTATAATTTTTTGAGCAAGCCATGTTTTGACCACGTTTTGGGGCTTCTAGACTAAGAGTTTTTAATTCATTATGGGATCTATCATAATAATAGTTATCACTTTATAGCATTTAGGTACCAGGTGCTGTTTGAGCACTTTGCATGTATTAACTTATGTAATTATCACCACAATCCTATGAGGGAGAAATTTATTTCACTGCTCATTGTACAGATAAGAATGGAGGCAGGTGCTCACTTTGGCAGCACATAACACTAAAATTGGAACCATCCAGAGATTAGTATGGCCCCTGTGCAAGGATGACACGCAAATTGGAGAACCATTCCATATTTTTACAAATTTAAAGAGTAGCACTGAAACATTTACATTACCATATGTAAAACTAGATAGCCACTGGAAATTTGGTGTATGAGGCAGGGATTCAAATCTGGTGCTCTGTGATAGCTCAGAGGTGTGGGATGGGGTGGGAGGTTGTTGGGGGAGGTTCAAGAGGGAGGGGGCATATGTGTACCTACGGCTGATTCATGGTGATTTATGGCAGCAACTAACACAATATTATAAAGCAATTATCTTCCAATTTTTTTAAAAAATAATGGAGGCAGAGGAAAGTTAAGTAATTTGCCTGAAGGAAAGTTAAGTTGAGTAATTTGCTCAACAGAGATGAGCTCTGGATTCCGTTCTTAACCATCTGCTACTGATGAGGCGAAATTAAACCATTTCAAAGAATGCCTACCTCCTCACTGTGGGGAAATAATAGTGTTTTCCTGGGGTCTACACTGTGAACAGTTTTCCCCTCTTTACCAAGCCAGAAACTAGTGCCACCTTTCCAGGCGTCCTCATTACTCCGTCCCCTCCCAGTCTAGCCTCAGGGCCTTCTCTCCTGTCCACTGGTCCCAGACAGTTGTTGGAAGTAAAAGTCGTCTGCGTTCCCCAGGTGGAGTGGGTCTAAATTTCTGTCGGCCGGTTGGAACCAAGCAGCAGCAGATTCCGCCCTAAGAGGCTCAGGGCCAAGCCGTGGGCGGGGCCAGCAGAGGGGGCGGGAACTGGGCCCCGGCTGACTTGCCTCTACACTGTGCGGCGCCTGCAGCTCAGAGCGGAGCCATGAGCTGGACCTGCCCGCGTTGTCAGCAACCCGTTTTCTTTGGTGAGACCTGGGTGGAGAAAGGGGAGAAGACGGGGCAAGTGAGAACTACTGGGTTCCCTGAGGACGCAAGGAGCTGGCAACTAGTTCCAGACCCTCTTTCCACCTGTGGGGTGCAGGGCACTCGGGCGGGATGGAGCTGGCCTCCAGGAGACACTCCCCCTCGCCTCTAGGAGCCAGGGTGGGCGGGAACAAGAGGGGAAAGGAGGGCGCCTTCTGCTTGGCCTGGCTCCCCTCTGCACGATTCCACCTTGTCCTCCGCAGCAGAGAAAGTGAGCTCCCTGGGCAAGAACTGGCACCCATTCTGCCTGAAATGTGAGCACTGCCACAGCGTCCTGTCCCCAGGAGGGCATGCAGAGGTGAGGCCTGGCTAGGGCGCACAGCTCTGTGTCTGTCACTATCCCTGTCACTATCTCCTTCCCCAGAATGGAACAGGAGGTGGGACCAGGTGGCAGTACCCCACCTAGTCCTCCGCTCCCGCTTCACATGCCTACAACCTTGTTCATGGCAAAGTCTTCTCCTTGGCTCCTTTTCCATCTGCCCACCAAAGGCAGCCTCAGCAGCCAACTCCCAAGATCACCTACCCAACAGGCACCATACGAGCCAGGATTTGGGGAGCCTGAATTGTGCTGATAGATGTGCCTTGTGGGGTAGGGTTGGGAAGCAGCTGTGCTTCCTGACCTGCTCTTTCCCGTTTTCTCTGGCCACTGTAGCAATTCTGGCATGCCAGCTCACCCCTCACTCCTCCCATTCCCTCCAGCCCAGGCCAGTAGACAGTCACACCTGGCAGCCTGTCGGGGAAAAGCCTGTGGGGCACAGGAGAGGCCCTGTTGGTCCCTAAGCAGTCCTCTTCCCTCTGCTTGTACCTAGCACAACGGAAGGCCGTATTGCCACAAACCATGCTATGGGGCTCTCTTTGGACCCAGAGGTAAGTACCAGTCTGGAAAGGGCCAGGGGATAGCAGAACCCTCTGTGTGGCTGGGAGCTGGAGACTCAAGCCTGACCTTCCCTCTTCTCTCTGCAGGGGTGAACATTGGTGGTGTGGGCTCCTACCTCTACAAACCTCCCATTCCCACAACTGCCAGCACCACTCACCTTAGCCCCAGCAGCTTCAGCCCCCCCAGGCCCAGGACTGGCCTCCCTCAGGGCAAGAAAAGTAAGTGAGATTGGGCCCCAGACAAGGAACTCCTCCTGACCCTTCCCCAGAATGGAACAGGAGGTGGGACCAGGTGGCAGTACCCCACCTAGTCCTCCGCTTCCACTTCACATGCCTACAACCTTGTTCATGGCAAAGTCTTCTCCTTGGCTCCTTTTCTGATATTTCCTCATGTCAGCTGCTGAGTAAGAGGTAAATTGGGCAGATGGCATTATCACCCCCACTTTACAGGTGAGGAAACTGTGGTCTGTAGAGGGCAAGTGAACTTGTGCAGTCACACAGCTAGTCAGGCAAAGCTGGCCTAGAACTCAGGCCTCTCCCAGGTCAGGGCCATGGAAGGAATAACCTAGTGTGAGGGGTCACTGAGATGGGCCAGCCCCTCAACATTCTTTCATTTTTCTCCCTCCCTGTTTCTTCATCCCCTGAGTGGACAGTGACACTGTGCTCCCCAACACCTGACACCCCTGCCCTGGCCAGCTCCTGTATCAGCTCAGGTTTCCTGAGGATTGGGTTGCTGACAGAGTTGGACTGGTGGGCACCTGAGCCCCTGGGAGGGTGAGAAGGAAGCAGGAGGTCCCTCCTGCAGACAGGGATGGGGCAGGAGATGGAGTCAGAGGGGACTCAGCTCTGCCTGAGAAAAGCAGGCTCATGTCCATGTGGGTGGGAGGCTGTGGGATGAGCCTGGCTTTTGGAAGAGGACAGTGCCATATACAAGCCAGGGCTGATGGGCCCTGATTAGGCCTGGCTCCCATCTTAGCCCTAGCTGGGGGCCTCTTCCTCTTAAAGGCCCTCCCCACATGAAGACATTCACTGGGGAGACCTCATTGTGCCCGGGCTGTGAGGAACCTGTCTATTTTGGTAAGTGACAACAGAAGGCTAACGGAGGGAGGTGGTGCCAGGCAAGTGGGTCTCCCTGCTCTGTCCCTGGAACTACCACCTCTCCTCTACCAGCTGAGACGGTGATGTCTTTGGGCAGAAATTGGCACCGACCCTGCCTGAGGTGCCAGCGGTGCCGGAAGACCCTGACTGCTGGGAGTCACGCTGAGGTGAGCAGGGCAGGGGTGAGTGTAACTATGCTGGGAGGGAGGCTGGAAAAGAGCCGAGCTGAGACGTCTCTCTTTCTCTCTGTGTCCCAGCATGACGGCGCCCCCTACTGCCACATTCCCTGCTATGGCTACCTGTTTGGCCCCAAAGGTGGGCAGCCCCACCCCAGACGCTGGGCCTGAAGTATGGCATGTGGGTCTGTGTGGACAATTTCCCCTGTGGTCAAACACACTGCAGGCCCCTCCCAGTTCCCTCCAGCCTTCAGCCCAGCGACCCCCAACCCCAAGGCCCTTGGTGATGGGGTTCTCTCCTTCAGGTGTGAACATTGGTGATGTGGGCTGCTACATCTATGACCCTGTGGAGATAAAATCTAAATGAAATACTCACAGGAGAGGTCACACTAACCCAGGTCGTCCATCAAACCCTCCATGGTCCAATGGAAGCTACAGAATTTTCTAGTCCCATGAGAGTGGGAGAAGGTGGGATTCTGGCGGCCTGGGCCTAGGTTCCATGGTAGACCAGAGTCTACACTTTCTCTGCCAACTCCTCCCTCTCCCATTCCTATCTGGTCAGGGGACACAGGCCCCACCTCACTTGAAGGGTAGCCTCTTGGTCTTTCCAATCCCTTGACCCAGAAAATTCTGTAACTTCAAGGTACTCATAAAACTTGTGTTTATTTTTGCTTCTCCAATAAAATGTTGGCTCCCATGCCTTCAATTCTTCTTTAGACACGAGGCCTAGACAGTGGGTTGCAGGGTGGGGAGTGTAGGGGTGAGGGGGTGCATTAACCTGCAGAGTGCCTGGGAGGTAGCAAAGTCAGCCACAGGAACAAAGAGCTCTGTTCTCCTGGTTCCCTGGCTCTGGCACTGGGCAGGCCCAGCCCCACACAGTGGACAGGATGCCCACCAGCCCTATTGGTACCAGAAGTATCACAGAACAGTTATTTCTTTAGCACCATTTCTAGAAGCACCTTAGCATCTCATTTGAGCATGAGAGGAGATAGATACTGTGGTGAGGTCTGCTAAGAGGCTTCATTATCCATTTGAGAGATGACCAGAAAGACCCAGAGAGGGAAAGTCACAAGCCCAAGGTCACCCAGAGATCAGTAACAAAGCTGGGACCAGAACCCAGGGCCAGACTCCGTGGCTTCTCATCCAGGGCTTATCCCACAGCTCCAGAGGCACCTCTATTTACAAAATCCTCCCAGCCATGAGAGGGGTGCCAGACTTCTCAGCAGCCCACTGCATTCTGAGAAGCTGCTGTGTTACTAGAGGCCAAATAGTCAGGCTGGATGAGAACAGAGAGAGCAACTGCAGCCCCAGGCAGGGGGTTCACTGCCCCCGCCCCAGTTCCAGGGTCTGCCCTTCTGTTTTCTCAGCCCCTGCTGCAGAACTTCTGTAGAGGGCCTGCCCTTGATACCACTCAGTCCTGGACCTGCTTCATGGGCATCTCTTCCTCCTGAAGACTGGATGGGGCACTGGGGAGGAAGGAATCATGAGCAATGGTGGGCTTCAGCCTCTCAGCCAACCACCCCAGCCTGCCCCTGAGGGCTGGCCTAGGGCTTCCCCCAGCTCTTGACATGCAAACACATGCACTCCCACAAGTGACTCCCACACATGCCTGTCACATCCCTGACATGTAGGCATACCTGAGTGTGTGTACACATCCTCTTCTTCCTGGACACAGACACAGGTATGGACTCATGGACACTTTTATACACACCTCAGGTCATGCTCCCATGCACACTTGCATACATGACCAGATACACATGTGCTGACGTGGCTCCCGCTCTGAATCTTATCTAAGATGTCAGGTACCTGGGCACCCATACCCACATGCACGTGCTCACACACAGTCCTGTGCACACACCTCTTCCTCTCCACATCTTGGATGGTCTCTGGCAACTGTGCCTGCTTTGTCTCTGGTAGCAGGAGGGCAGTGCAGGCAGCCAGCAGGGCGATCCCCCCATAAGCGAGCTTGGGCAGTGACAGCCATAGTCCATCCAGCAAGGCTGCCAGTGGGGCCAAAGACCCCCCTAGCCGGCCCACCAGTGCAGTCAGCCCCATCCCCGTCTGTCTGTTTAGAGAGAGGGCAGAGGAGAGGGCTGGTACTTGAAATTACTTGCAGTCATGTCTCATGGGGCTCCCCTTCTGGGCTGGCAGGCCCTGGTGCCCCCTTCTCCCCAGACAGCTAAGAAAACTGGGGCTTCTTTCAGGTGGTCTTCCCACCCACTCCCAAGCCCAGGGGCCCCCAAGCGAGCACCCACAGGAGGATGGGCCCCCATTCTGATAGTACCAATCAGGTAGTGCAGAAGGGAAAAAAAGAAGTCATTAGAAAGAGGATGGGGAGAGGGTGGTGTGAAAGGAAGAGGTCAGCAGCTGGAACAGACTCTGCCATGCTAGAGGAGACAGAGGGCTTTCTCAACATGCCCAGCTGTCTGCCCATCTCCTCTCCACCTGTCAATAGCTACCTGAAAGAACCTTATGTCCAGAGACAACCCCCCAAGGGCAGCTCTGCTTGGGCTGTGGTGAATAGGATGGGATGAGTTGGACAGATGCGGCCTTTTGCGACTGTTTTCTCTTAAAGGACCCCCAGAGAAGTTGTCTGACTTTGCTCAGGGTCACTTAGTAAAGATTAAATGCCCCACCTCTTCCCAGATTTAGGCAAACCAGACGGCCCAGATTAGGTCTGTAAGGGATGGATGACAGCGACCGGGGTACTGTATACGTGTCTAGGATGTTAGAGATGTGACTAACAAGCCCTCCCTCCAGGTGGCTTGACTGGGACCCCTCACCTGAGCACGGTAGGGTACAACTCCGACGTGAACAGGTAGGCAGTGGTAAAGGCAGCTTCAGAAAAAGCTTTCCCCATCACCGCCAGGGCGGTGCTCCAGGACTTCATCTCTGGAGGAAAAGGGGTTCAGGCAGTGAGCAGGCCTTGCCAGATAACCGAGGTTCTCCAGGCTAGGAGGTGCAGTCTCGGGAGAGGGCGGGACTTAACTGGCCTTGAGTCGGGGCTTCCGGGATGGGGTGGGGCGGCTAGGGGGCGGGGCCTACGGTAATGGGCGGGGCTCACCGGGGGACACCAGTAGCCTGAAGCCCAAAGCAAGCGCGGCACCAAGCAGCGTTCCCGCCATCGTGAGGCGGCGTCCAGCGTGGCGCACCGACAAATAGACCAGCAGCTTGGAGGGCAGCTCCACGGCCCCGAACACCAGCTGCGTCAGGTACACGTTCAGGCCCAGTCCCGACACGTCCAGGCTCACGCCGTAGTAAGAGAAGTTCACTCCAAACCTGAGGGGGTCACGATGCCGCTCAGGGGCCCTCCTTCGCGCACCATTGTCCTCTCAGGAGCCTTAGGCCTTTTAGAGGTACTATCTCCCCCACCTTCGGAGCCCACTGCCCATGACCTTCCCAGTCTCCATAATCCCTTGTGAGTGTGCAGCACATGCCGGTGGCCTAAATGGCCTGACCTAATATTCACAACAACCCCGTGAGATAGGAACTAATGGCGTCCGGTCGTACAACAGAGGCACTGAGGCTCAAGGTGCTAAGTGATCTGCCTGTCCAAGGGCTCACAGTAAGGAAGCGGCAGAGCTTGCGTTTGCCCCCACGTATCTCTGACGCCCGCTCCATCCTGACCTTCCAGAGTCCAATCCCCCCAGAAACTGACCCTCCCTTCATCCTCAGTTAGTTTCACTTGTCCCCTGTCCTGTCACACTCAGCACCAGCTGGAGCCCGCCCCTCCCCCACCCCACCTGGCCCAGGTCAGGCTCCCTCCTCACCACACCACCATGCAGCACAGTGAGATGTATCGCAGCCGTGGTGTCCGGAACAGGTCTAAATACGAGGGTCTTCGGACCATCCGCTCCGCGGCAGCCACTTTGTTCAGGGCCTGGTGGGGGAGGAGGAGGGTTTGTGATGCCGGAGTCGGCTGTGAGGCCTGAGCAAGGTACCTTGTTCTCCCTGGATCCCTATCCTTCTCTTCTGCAGTAGAGGGGGAGGGGATGCTGGTGGGAGCTGAGTAGGGTGGGCCCTGAGCAAAGGGTGTGGCCCACCAGGGCCAGTAGGACATCCTGAAGAGTTTGAGACATTCTACTGGGGTCCAGGAGCTTTTCTTACACAGTGTGGACCCCAAGAAGGGCACCCTTGATGCAACCTGCTGACCCCCACGCTCATACACAAACATGTACTTGCACACACGCACATCATGCATTCACTCTCACCTCCCGGCTCAGGCTGTCCTCACCCGCAGGCTGCCCATTGAGCCTGGCACAGTGGAGCAGGTACCTGTGGGCCTCTTCCACACGGCCCTGGGTCAGAAGCCAGCGGGCAGATTCAGGCACCCACCTGGGGGACAGGAGGAGGCCGTTCAGTCAGTCACTGTCCTAAGCCACATCTCCCTCCTGGGCACACTTGTCAGCCTCCAGGCTCTTCCCACACAGTACCCTCAGCCTGGAACATGTTCCCTTCCCAAGCCCTCCTCATCTAATGAATTATTCATCCGTTAAGGCCCAATTTCAAAGCCACCTCTGCCCACTCTTCTTTGCCCAGGCCTAGGTACCCCACAGCCTGAGATTCCCTGCTCTGCTCAACTGAATTGGTCTCACTCCCAAAACCTCAGCTCCCAGCACTAGTTATCACTTCTCCCACAGGTGACCATGAGGGCATAGGATGAAAGAGACAGACACACAGACATACCCAGAGGGATCATCCAAAACCAGTTCATTTGGGGGAGGCAATGAAATGCCCACCTCACCCAGCCTCTCACCCTCCTATTTGGACTCCTGTGCTGGCTTTGCCCCCACCCCGACTCCTCCAGGGCACCAACCTGTTTGTGCTTAGCTCTGTTTCTCCATCCCCATCTCTCCTGTTACTCTGTCTGAGCCTCTGAATCTGCCTTTCAGTCCTGGTCTCTCACTGTCTCTCAGAGGCTCTGTCTCTGGCATTCCATCTCTGTCTATATTTTGTTCTCTCTCTCTCTGCTTCATATTCCTGATGCCATCCTCTTTATACTTATGTTTGTCTCTCTTTCTCTTGGTCACTGACTGTTTCTCTTCATCTCTCAGTTTCTCTTTCAAATCTCATCCTTGTGTGTGTGCTCAGTTGCTCAGCCATGTCCGACTCTTTGCAACCCCATGGACTGTAGCCCACCAGGCTCCTCTGTACATGGGATTCTCCAGACAAGAATACTGTAGTGGGTTGCCATTTCCTCCTCCAGGGAATCTTCCTGACCCAGGGATCAAACCCACATCTCCTGCATTGGCAGGCGGATTCTTTACCTCTGAGACACCTGGGAAGTGATTCATTTTGTCTCTCCCACTCCCCAGCTGCCCACAAGTCTCACCAGAGGGTAAGGATGCCTGGAGCACAAGGCAGGGTGACAGTCAGTAGAAGCCATCGCCAGTCCCGTATCAGGTAGCCGATCAGTGCCAACAGCATCACACCCCCTGTCCAGAAGGTGCTGCTCAGGACACCTGCCACGGTCCGGTGTCTCACGTCCAGCCACTCCAGTTCTGGGCCAGGGCAGGGGTTGGAGGCAGGAAGACAGTTAGCAACGGTCAGATGGGCTCAGTCTCACCTTTGACCGCTGCTTCCTTCTGGTCCTCTAGGTCCTACCCATTCTTTGCGTGCCTTACCCAGTGGCATCACAATGATGGTGAAGCCAGCCAGAGCCATGCCAGTGAGGGTGCGAGTGATGACAAACATGATGTAGCTGACCGAGGCTGCAGACGCCAGGCTCAGCACCAGGGAGCTCACGTAGGCCACCAGTAGCAGGCGGCGCCGCCCAAACCTGCACAGGGGTCACGCAGGGTCAGCACCCTGTGGACGGGAAGTCCCATACCACCGTTAGTGGAAGAGGGCTCCCCACCCCACTCCGTATCGGCCCCCTCTACCTCACCCCACCTGTCAGACAGGTATCCGTAGACCACGGCCCCCACCAGCACACCGGCGAAGAAGAAGGTGGAAGTGGCTTTGTTTAGGCCTTTCTGCTCACACACAAGGTCCCACTGCAGGAACAGGCAGGGAGGGGCCTCCTATAGGCAAAGGCCCCTTCCAGCTGGTACCAATCCCTCTTCTCCCAGACCCTGGGGCTTTCTGAGGTCAACTGTGCCATCCTGGTACCTCCAACTATTCCCTCCAGCTTGGGGGGTGGAAAACTTTGCCCCCTACCCCAGTCCTGCAACCTCAGTTTTTTCCCATGGAAGGCCTTGACTATGACGACAAGAGTTCTGCTCCTTCCCAGACAGACTGTCCCCCACCTCCTCCTTCATCCTCCAGATGAATTATATAAATCCTAGACCTGGGGCCTGGAAAAAAGAAGGGAGAGGAGTCCTCTATTGTTTTTCCACCTCTTACAACAGAAAAACCCTTCTCAAATATCTTCCCCAGCTCCCTGGAGCCGACTTGCCCCTCCCTTGCCCTAATCACCTCCCAAGTGGTAATAGCAGCTCTCACATAGGGCCTTTACCACAAGCCAGGAACTAAGCTCAGTGCTTTAAAGTTATAGACCCCATCTACAGGTTGGTAAACTGAGACTCTCAAAGGTAAAGTAATGTATCTAATGCCCACATGGTAATCACCCAAGGCAATGGCAGACCCATCCACTCACATGTCCCCCAACCTCCCAGCTCGGGTACCTCAGTTGCAATGGTGGAGGAGAATTCCGAGTGGTTGTACTCCCAGCCCTGAGGACAGGGCACTGTGGAGGGCTCACCCTCTGGTTGCTCCCCAGGGTTCTGCCCACCTTCCCACAACGTGCTGTTGGGGAGGGCCTGCGGATGGGTGAAGCGGAGGCAAGAGCTGAGCCTGCCGTCAGGCTCCCGGGGCAGGTGGGCCTCCAGCCATGCATCCTGGTTACTGAAGTTGTCAGGGGCTCCAGGCAGGGCACAGCGGTGGGCCGGCACAGCAGCCAGGAAGATGGGCAGGAGGAAGTGCATGGGTAGCAGCACCCGGGGCAGGGCCAGCAGAGCCACATTCCGCAGCTGGAAGGGCCCAAAGCCGCCCACCTTGTCTAGCAGCTCCTCGAATCCCATGCTGCTTATCCACCAACCTTCTCCTGTGCGGACTCCCTCTATAATGCCTAGCACAGCTCAAAGCACCCACCACTTGAACCCTTGGACTCTGGAGGCGGGAGAGACAGACTGATGAGCAGAGAGCCTTCAGTCAGAATCCAGCCCTCAGGGGCTGGCCCAGGATGGGGCCCTCCCAGGCCACCCAGGTCTCCAGGGATCCCTGCCTATCTGGCTTAGTTCCCCAGGGGAGGAGGGGGAGTGGGGGAAAGGCTGCCATCCACTCAGAAGTCACTGACATTGTGGCTCTGGGACTTAACATATTGGTGCTCAAGGACCAAGTGGGGTAACCATGAGCTGCCAGGGGGTAGCTGGGTGTGTGGGAGATGAGGCCCTAGCCCCTTGGTCAGTAGAGCTTCCAAAAGTGCCTATAAGGAGAAGTCCCCCAGAGCATGGTGCCAGCTCTCCCTGGATGCCCTTTGTCCTATGAAGCCTTAGTTCATCTGTGTCTATTTGTAGCCACAGCCCGGCCGGCAGCTTGGGATTCAAAACCGAGATCTAGGTCCTAACCAGGTGGAGGGTTCTTCTGGCTGAGAACCCTTCCCGTACACAGGAAGGGAACATGAGGCCTTCCTATACTCCTACCTGGAGTGTATGTCCCAGCCAGAGACACGCCTGAACCCGCACCAGCCAGCCTGGCTGACCTGGGGATCCCAGACCCATCACCCTTCCATTTTTTCACTCAGGGTCTCTCAGAATTTGTCTGATCTCCCCACTCAGTTCTCATTCATGGCCCCTGCCACAAAAGCACAGTGGAAGCCAGCAATGTCAGACTCATTCTCATCTGATTCTACCAGGTTGACAAAGCTGGGAGATTGTCACATCATATTCCAAGGACTCCAAATTTCTAAGCAAATAAGCTTCTCAAGGGCCTAAGCTAAAAATATATATATATTTTGAAAATCTCTCATTTAATCTAGCCCCCACTTTGAATAGATAAGAAAAATGATTTGGGAGGCTGAGAACACCTCTGGCTGGGGTCACCCAGTGACTCAGCAGCAGAGAGAAGACCTGGACCCCCGACTCTGGCCCCAGTCTTTAATCCAAACTGCTGAGCTGGAGATGTTCCAGTCTGCACTAGGCTGGACTCCCTGAGATAGCTCTGGGGAAAGAGCTAAATTGTTGATGTGGTGTGTGTTACTGGTGGTGCTAGTAGACTAGGGAGTGATTTGGTGGTGATGACGGGAGCTGATAGTAGTATTAACAAGACCTGTTGAGTCTCTAATGCAACCTCAGCATTTTGTAAGGTAGAAAGATGCCTCTGCCACAGTCCCTGCCCTCTGAACATGCAGTCTGGCAGGAGGGTTAAAACAAGTGATAACAAGCACCCCTGCACCGGCTCCAGTCTCACCCCTCTCAACCCCTGCCCCCACACCCACTGGAATGAACATTTTAAAACACAGATCCAACAGGGTAATGTCTCTGTTTCAAACCCTATATCAGGGACTTCCCTGGTGGTCCAATGGCTAAGACTCCGTGTTCCCAACGAAGGGAGTCCAAGTTCAATCCCTGGTCAGAGAACTAGATTCCATATGCCACAGCTAAGATCCCACAACATGCAACTAAGAGTTCACATGCCACAGCTTAAAGATCCTACGTGTTACAACTAAGACCTGACATAAACAAATAAATATTAAGGAAATAATCATAATATCCAGAAGGTAGAAGCAACCCAAAGTCTATCAGTCGATGAATGGATAAACAAAATGTGGTCTATCCATACAACAGAATATCATTCAGCCTTAAAAAGGAATGAAGTACTGATAAGATCTAAACATGGGTGAACCTTGGAAACGTGCTGTGTAATGAGGGCAGTCACAAAGAGCCACATATAGTGCGATTCCAATGATATGAAATGTCCAAAATAGGCAAATGATACCGACACAGAAAATAGACTAGTGGTTGCCTCGGTCTTGAGGGGTTGGGGAGAAATGGGACTGATTGCTGGTAAGTATGGAGTTTCTTTCTGGGGCTGATGGCAATATTCTAACTTTGATTGTGATGACTGGTTGTACAACTCTATGATACACTAAAAACAAGGAAGATCTGTATTTTAAGATGTTGTTGGGTGTAAAAATCATGTTTCAGAATAGTAAATATAATATGCGCCTCTATTTACATGAAATATATATGGAAAGAGTGCTATTATTATAAACCTAGAAGGTCTGAGATGGTACACACCAAGGGGTTCACAAGGATTGCCTCCAGATGGTCACATTTGTGGATGGGAGGCTTTTGTGTTTTATTTTACATGCTTTTAGCACTTGCCTGTTCATTACAAACATGACCTGCTTTTGACATTTTTGAATAAGAAGGAAGGTAAAAGCATATGGGGGTCCCACTGAAAGCTAGTGAATCAGGCCCTAGTGCTCCCTTGCATCGTGTCAAAAGAAAGGAGAAACAGGAGATGGTTACACAGGCTCTGGGATGTCAGAGTTGTGGTGGGGTGGTCTCCTCGGAGGGAAAGCAGGACATCAAAGCCTGGGTCCTTTTCCCTTGGATCCCAGGCAGCGTTGGGAGTCTGCCCTGGGACAGAAGTTGTTCATGTATTGTCTAGGTGAAAGATTCACAACACTGAACCTAGGGTCCAAAATGCAGAAAGTATAGCAAGTACACTCCACTGCAGCCTCCCTGCCCCCACCACCCTGGCCTCCCAAAGCAACCAGAGGCCTCTAACTCCTCTAAATAGGTGGACGTTACACACACAGTCCTTTTACTAGATACAAAAAGCCATCTCCTTCATAGCAGAGCTTCACAGCGCCCCACGACATCACATGCTCTACTAACAGGGCCCCATTAAATGGACATTTAGATTGTTTCTCAGTGCTTGCTTTTACAGGTTTACAGTCTCTGATCCAAACAATTGAAAATCTTTTAGAATTCAGAATACATTTAGAGTTAGAAAAGCAACTCAGTGTATAGTCCATATATTAGGAAACATCCCAGTGGGACCTAAGGCAGCATCCCATAATCAAACATGTTAATACTTCACTGCAAATATGTATGATAAGTGGAATTAATAAAGACTATAAATGGTCTTGTCAGGTTTTGATACCAAATGAGTTGATGCTGATCTAATGGGATGTCTATCTCCCAGTTTTCAGAACTTTCTTGCTTTTGGAATTGCAGATGAGGCTTTGTGGAGCTCAAAGGATGCTGCCATGGATCACTTAGGACATATAATTTTGCGAGTTTACAGGTATATCCATAAGATACATTTCTAGCAGTGGAGATGCTGGGTCAGAGGTTCTGTTCATTTGTGATTCATAGATTTTGCTAGAATAATGACCATTATTCTTCCTTGCCTATAAGCTGCTATACTTTCTCTACACTTTCTGTAACACTTGTGCTTTTGTCTGTTAAACTGGGAGCAATGAAAATTCTTCCCCCCTCCCTCTCTGCACAAAGCTAGACTTAAAAGTCTCTTGGAGCCAGGGGAGCAGAGAGAGCCCGAGCTTTGCTATCAGAGACCGCAGGGCCATCCCCTTCCACCCATGTGACCCTGCACAAGTTACCTGTATGCACCCTGAGCTTCCATGTCCTCTTCTGTAGACAACCAACCTCCAGGACAGTCCCTCCTCACATTCCCACCAGCCTGCTCTTTCCCCTCTGCCTACTCCCAGCCCCAAGGCCTGGGCTTTGCCCTATCCCCCAAAGGAAAAAGAGTCCAGGCTAACAGAAAGAAAGGTCCACAGGCTTTTTAATGGTGTGATGGCTACTTCCCTTCCGAGACCCGATCTAATCATGACAGCGGCTTCCAGGGTGCTGGGGTGGGGATGGACAGGTGCAAGGTGGGCAGAGGCCATGCAGTGACTAGGAGGGGTGGGGGAGGGTGTTACATTCTGTTTGGCATGTAAACATTCTTCAGTGGCTTCCCCAGGGAGGGGAGGGGCACCTCCCTGCCCCTCACCCCATGCTCACCAGGGCTGATTCCCCCTGACCCCACCCCAGCTGAGAAGACTGAGCAAGCCAGGACCCTGCAAGGAGCTGGGAAGGAGGCAGCCCATATACTGGGGGCACGGCTCCTCACCTGCACCCTCTTCGTGCACAGTGCGGCTGGGGAGGGGAGGCATGTTCTGGGGTGAGCAGACCTGCATCTGAGCCAGTGACACAGGCTGTGGCGATGGGGAAATGCTGGAGGGTCTGGTGGTGGTGGTGTGACACTCTTATAGAGAACGGGGCTCAGGACTGGGAGGGCTTGGTGGGCAGGAATGGGTGCCCATGGGGGAGGAGACTGCAGTGGGAGGTGGGGGCACTGGAAGGTGTGTTTTCCTCTGCCCTAGACCCTTCCGAGGCGGGGGGGAGGAGCAGAGTCAGTCCCTTAGCCCCCCACACACTTGCCCCCTCCCCTCCTCCCCCACCTCGGTGACATTCAATGACGCAGAGGCCTGAGGTCAGTTGGGAGCCCTAGGGAGGTCCGGAATCCCAAGGGCAGACAGGGTTTTGCGTCTCTGCCCAGCTCGAGTGCTGGGTGAAGCTAGAGTGTGGGATGGGTTTGGGGCTCTCTCAGGCCGCCCCCTTTTTCCTCCCAACACCAAACCAGGGTGTTGTTGGTCCTGGGGCAGGGGTGAGGCTGGGGGGCCCTACATTCACGGTTCGGTTGGTGGCAAGGAGCAAGCCCAGGACCTGGGCACCAGGGGTCATGCCCTGGTCCCCACCTGGCACGAGCTGATTGTCATTCGAAGAAGCTCTAGGTGGGAAGGAGTGGCCCCTCCTCCACCCCCTCTGCTGGACCCAGAGGGCAGTAGAGGCCTTGGGATGGGTCTCGGGTTGACAAAAAGGGCTCTGTCCGGAGAGGTTTCCTGAGTGTTCTGGGAGCTTCTGCGTCAGTGAAGGGTGAACCTTGAAGGCCATCCACCCTGGAGTCGTCCCCTGGGCTGGTCTGCAGAGAAGCCACCACCTTGGCATAGAAGAAGCTGCCCAAGCCTGCTGACTCTCCATCAGGGGCTTCAGCTGGTGCCACCAGGCTTCTCTTGGGGCCGATTTCCTCACGGGCATCCTTCTAAGTGATGGCGGCTGGATGCTGCCAGACCACTAGGGCAGGCTGAGGCCTTTACTCCTCTTCCCCGGGCTGTCTTGCTCTGCTTTCTGTGACCCAGGGAAGAACAGAGGGGCCATGCCAGGGGACAGAGGCTGGAGTGCTGAGGATGGAGGAGGACCGCAGGGGCCTGTCCCAAATGTGCAGGGTTGGCTATCCCCTCTGCAGCCCCTTGGCCCAGATGTAGGCAGTTGAGGCTGATGATGAGTGGGGATGAGCTATGCAGGAGCCAGACCCAGGAGGAGGCCCCGTATCCATTCGTGGAGCAGCGCAGGCCTCGCCCTCAGCAGGGACTACTCAGCCGCATGGGCTGGACAAGAGGGGACAGGCTGAAGGGTGAGCTACAGGTGGAGGACACTGGGGCTGGACCCATCATAGAAACATACAATCCCGAAGTGAGAAGGGCCTTTCTGCCTCGAGTCCAGGGGCCAGCTGTCTGTCTGTCTGTCTGCCTATTTCTGCTATCTCTCCCACTGGGGGAGATGATGGTCTGATCCAGCCCACTCTCCAGAGCCAGGAGGACAGGGAGGGTGATGCAGCCAGGACTGGGTCCCTGAATCTCCAAAGGGCCAGTGCAGAGAAGATGATAACCATTCTCTACCCCCACTGAATTCAGGAGAGAGAGAAGTTGGCTGAAACCGCAGTAGGCAAGATTGAGGTTAGATGGCAAAAAGGTATTCCTGATGGTGAGGGGTCCTGAGCACTAGATCAGGGGACCAAGGGAAGGGGTGAAACGTTTTTTAAAGCCCCCCCCAACTTCCCACTGGGAAACACTTGCCCAGGAAAGCAGCCCCCGCACACTTGATGGTTCCCACACAAACTTAGGGGAAGGGGGTCGTTGTACCCTAGAGGTGCGAAGGAGCACCCTTCTCCCATCACCTGCCCACTGCTTCCCACAAGGGTGGCAAGAACGGTGCTGACTCTGCCGCAGGTCAGACCTGCCCCCTCACATCTGAGTAGACCAATGGCTCCTAGGTCTCACCTCCCCAACTCCAGTCTGGCAGCAGAGAAGAGGTCTTTCCAACCACCTGAGCTCCCAGGGGATGGTGGGATTAGCCCCTAGTGGGAGGCTGGAGCCTCCATTTCTGGAATTTGAGGCTGCCTTTCCGAAAAGGGCAACAGGTTTGGGGGGGGGACTTTGGCTGGAAGAGGGTCAGGAGGAGGGAAAGATGCCACAGGATGTGTAAGCAGAGTTCCCTAGGGGAGCATGGGGAGCAGCAGAGGCCTGGTGGGTGAGCAGGGGTCCCCATTAGTGGAGTCCTTGGTGAAAAGTCGCTGAGCCTTCCCCGGGGCGGAGGGTGAGCCTGCCCCACCTGAAGGGCAGCAGGAGGAGAGGCGGAGAAGGGGAAGGATGGGGAGGCGGACGCTCCCCCGGGCCGGTGCCCCGATCGGCAGGGCCGGCGGGTGGTCGCTGCGTGTGCTGGCGCGCGTCCTCGCGGGTGCAGGCGGGAAGCTGGGTGCACGGGTGGCGCGCGTCAGGCGCCTAAGGCTGTGCTGGGAGCTGTTTCAGTGTGGCCGGCTGCGGGTGGGGGGCCGGGGTGAGGGTGGGGGGCCGCAGAGAGCCGCGCGCATCATTATCTGGCCCCCGCCCGGCTCTCCGCGACCCCCGCCCGGCCTTTGGTTGCTGCGCGCTGAGTCTGGACTTTCCCTCTGGGTCCTTTCTTGGGGCCCCCCAAAGGGGAGGGGGTGCCTTCAGGCTGCGCCCGGGCCTGCGGGGCGCCCCGGGGTGGGGCGGGCCCGGGCCGGGCCTGGTGCGAAGGGGAGGGGCTCTCTTTTCGGGACAGGGACCGGCTCCGCGGGGACGCACTGGGATGGTGCGCGGAGGAGGCGGGGAGGCCGGGACTGCGCGGGGCTGGGGGCCTGGTGCCGGCTGGGGCTCGCCCGGGGCCCGGGCCTCGGCCGGAGGACTGTCTGGGACGGAGGTCAGCAGCAATGGCCGTCCCTGGGGGCTTCTGCAGCTGGAGCCTGCGGAAGATGCGAGAGGAGGGCAAAGAAACAAAAGGAGAGACAGTTTCAGAATCTCCCTGGGCACTGAGCCCGAATCGTGCATCCTCAGAGGTGGATGAGCCTGAGATGAGACCTTGGCACAGACGATCAAACCGAGGCAAACAAACTGAGGCGTGGTGCCCTGTCCTGGAGGACGGGGCCTCTAAGGGCCACCCTCCCCCCTCTCCCCCACCCCCCGCCCCCCGCCCCCCGACCGGGCTGCTACCAAAAGAGCTTGCTGCATGCTTTCTCTGATATCTGTTTCATCTTTACATTCTACTGCATTATATACTCATGCTTATATTAATATGGCTAATGTTTTCTCCCAACTATTCTAGCCTTTATCTTTGAGCTTCAAATGCCCCGTGGCACACCAGAGACTGTATGTGGACCCTACTATCCCCCATCAGCCTTTCCCAAGCCTGCCTCCTTGACATCCCTCCAGACACTCCCTTGAGCCCAGTGCCAGGGCTGGGACCCGAGTCAGAGGAGAGACTGGGCTGGGGAGGTGTGGCTGGATTATCAGTATCCCTTGCATCCAGGGAAGCCTCCCCTGGAGGAAGCCTTCTGTGGTCACCCTCTGCCACGCCTCCCCCGCCCCCGCCCCACCGGACTGGCAGAGGTTTCTCACCTGCTGGTGATGGCTGTGTCAGATGCTGGGGCCGCACCTTGGGGTCTGTCGGGGGGCTGCTGGGCTGTGGCAGGCGTGGGCATGCGGACGCTAATGGGGCGGGGGATCCGGCTCCGGGTGGCAGCTGCCCGCCCGGCTTTCCTGGGCACCGCAGGCTCGGAGGCAGGCGTGTCCTCCTCGGAACCTGTGCCTGAGAGAGTCTCAGAGGCGCGGCGTTGCTCCTCGCTGGAAGAAGATGAGGCCCCAGAGGCCAGGCGCAGTAGCAGGCGGCCCTGCCTCTTTTCCATCACCAGCCGCGCCAGGTCTTGCTGTGGTCGGGCCCTCTTGCCCCACCGCTCTTTGGCCGACAGCGAGCCAGAGGGCTCCGAGCCCGTGTCCTCCTCAGACAGCAGGACAGGGATTCGGCTCCTGGGGCGAGGGCCTGGCACGGCGTGGCGACTAGGAGAGATGGTGGCCAGTTTTTCAGGGCCTGGCTCCAGCAGGGACACGGGGGCAGGCCCATCAGCCAGGGCTGGGCCGTTGGGCAGTGAGTCTGTGGTCACCTCCAAGGGGCCGCTCCCTGGGGGTGCTGACACGACACAGCTCTCCAGCCCTGACAGGGCAATGCCATTCTCCAGGTGTGCAGAGGCCCCTTCCTCCGCCACCCTCCCATCAGAGGGCACCTCCAGGCCCAGCTCGCCCCCAGAGCTGAGCTCCTCAGACCGGGAGGCTTGTCCACCGGAAGACATGACATTGAGGTGAGTTTTCTCCGCAATGTGCACAAAGGTCCTCTCGACTTTGGTGAAGGGTGAGGAGGTGACTGCCACTCCCCCTGCCCCGATGGCCACCGCTCCCGTCCCCTGCCCTGCCACAGGCCCAGGGGGCTTGGGCTCGGACTTGAGGACGGAGGACAGGGTGCCTGGCTCCGACACGTCCAGCTGGCTGCCAGTGGGCTGGGGCCGCTCCTGCTGAGGGGTGAGGGCGGCCAGAGTGCCCAGGTCAGGGTCGGGGGCCAGGTCGGCAGTGACAGGCGACTTCTTCATGTCACCAGGGGAGACGAGCACCAGCGTTTTGGAGCCCTCCTCAGGCTCCAGGTCCCCGTCAGCCATCGAGGCCCGGCCCCTGGACTCTTTCTGATCATCGGCCAGCAGTGTGGAAGGCGCGCCCTCCTGGCTCCGGTCTGTGCTCCTCTCGCTGCCCTCGCTACTGGAGCCGCTGTGTGGCCCCAGAACCTCCCCCAGGGCCACTGCCTCCTCCTCCTCCTCCTCCTCCTCCTCCTCCTCTTCCTCTTCCTCCTCCTCATCCTCTTCTTCTTCCTCCTCCTCCTCCTCCTCCTCTTCTTCCTCCTCCTCCTCCTCCTCTTCCTCCTTCCCATTTGTTTGAGGCTGAACAGGAGCCAGTGGGACCTGGGGGGGTGTGAGTAGCATGTGCGAGAAGCCCACCCTCCGGACCCTGTTGAGCAGCCGAGCCCGTTCACGGTAATCGGAGAGATCCTTCTTGAAGTCCTGGTAGGGCAGGCTCAGGGGCACAGCTCGTGGGAGACCGTTCACCTCAAACGGGGGTGCCACGGAGAATACCTGCAAGGGGCACACACAGGGACCCACTGAGGTCACCGCCCTGCTCCTGGGCCTGACTGCACCCGCAGTCTTGGAGGCCCGCCACAGTGTGCGTTCCACTAGAGCAGGCACAGAGGCTTGTTTCGATCATTGTTCCATCCCAGGTCCCTAGGCTGGTCCCTGGGACCTAGTAACTGCTCAATAAATCTCTGATGACTGTTTCCATGCTCCAGGTCCCCTGGAAGTCCCAGGCCTTTATCCCAGTGGCTCTTCCATCTCCCAGTCTCCCCTTAAACCCCACTCCTCTCCTGTATCCCACATGTACCCTGAAACCCAGAGCCAACTATAATTCAGTCAATAGAAGAAAATGACAACTGCAAGCCATCATAACCACCATATAGATCAGCCCTTCCTTTTGCAGGTGAGGAAACCAGGTCCAGAGAGGAGCAGCAAGTGTCTGGGTTGCCCTCACTGCCTCCTCATAGAGTACAGTTCCTCAATAGCCAGGGAGTTGGCCGCAGGGCCACCAGAACTTGTCAGGGCACAGTTTGGACCATCCTCCACCCCATGAAGTACAGGCTGGGTCCCTGGAGCTCCAGCCCCCTTCCCACCTGCCTGTCAGCCAGGAGTTTTCCAGTCCTCTGTAGGTGCATTTTGAGTCCACACTTCTCCAGAAAGTCACAGCCAGCCTATGAAAGACAGTTCTTTTTCACTTGATTACTTTTGTCCCTTGGAAGTTTCGGGCAGAGTCCTTGGCCATGCGATGGCATGTCCTTGTTTTTCTAGACTCTTGCCACATCTCCCCTCAGCCTTCTTCCTTCCAGACTCAAAAGACCTGAGCATCTTACCAGGGCCTCTGCTGCTATGTCTTCTCTAGCTCCACCCTTGTCAATCACACATCCCTGGGCACCCACACAGCACCAGGCCGCATCAGGGCTGACATGGCTTTGTTCCTGGGGGGATGGTACGGACGGTATCCAGCACTTTGTTAGCCTTTTGAACACACAGGGCTTCTGTTTTCTGAAACACAGCCCTTGCAGACCCGAAGCCCTGGAAGGGCTCCAACACCTTCAGGGGTCATCCAGACTCTCAGGGATTCCTGCCAGGCATTCCTCTTGAACATCTGTGTCTGCTGTCCTATCCCCATGGGCACAGCCCTATCCTGCCTGGTGGTTCCCCAGCCACAAGCCTGATTTATTTTTTTTCCATTCTGCATTGTCCATCTGTTCTTCCTACAGCTGCCCAAGTGTAGGCAATCTTCCTGAAACTTAAATCGGATCTCATTTCCCCCTCTTTCAAACCTGCAGAAACCTATGGTGGGCCCCACAGTCCTTGGGAGATAGTCCCAATCCTTGGCTTGGCATATGTGCATCCTCACTCCTCCCCACTCCTCCCTACCTCACCCCACCCCATCCTAGCCCATGATCTGGCTCCTACCTCCTGCTCCAACCTCACTCTGCTCCCCTGCTTACATTCCAGCAGTTCTCAAAATACAGTTTTCTCATACTTCTGATCCTTCCCTAGGCAGCTTCCTCTGCCCAGGGGTCCCTCTCTCTCTACTGACATGACAAATTCTTATTCTTCTTCCAGCACCCAGCTCAAACAGCTCATTTTCCCAAAAGCTTCTTGTCCACCCAATAAGCAGACTTCACCACTCTCCTTGTTTTCCCACATCCTTCCTTCACAGAAGCTTCCACCCTCTATTTCACAGGCATGCCTTTACATGGTTCCCTCTCCTGATAAATGGTGAGCCCCTTAAGGGTTTTTCATTCATTCATGCATACATAAAGTCCTTGAATGTCTATTGTCTTGGCCTCTGTGTTAGAGGCTGTAAATTTGTGGATCAACAAGACAGACCTGATCCTTGTTTTCATAGAGTGTGCAGTCTCTAGGTTAGGAAGTGAGATGGGGATAATGCATACTCCACAAAGGCTGTGACCAGAAACGAGGTCATATAAGCAGTGGGTCTGGCTTATAGCAGTGGGTTGATAAATGTTAGCTCCCTCCCAACCCCATCCCACCCCCGCCTCCTACCCCCTGCTCTGGCTTACCCTGGTTTGAAGATCATTACCTCCCGCCTCAATCCCAGAAACTCCAGGATGCCATACCTATGGAGGCAGGGAAAGAAGAGGCTCTCCAGCTGAGGTCTCTGTGCACTCAGCCCATAGGCAGGTGGAGGAGAAGGAATCCGCAAGGCCAAGATTTGCTCAAGGCTGTGACTTCTCCCCTCCTTAACTGTCATAACCTTCCTCATGCAAGACAAGATAGTGTCAGACACCAGACAGGACCCCAGCACACTCCAGAGTGTGTTCTGATTATGTGTTTCTCCTGTCTGGCTCAGAACCCACCCACTGAGAACCAGATACATCCTACTCAGCAGGGGTATCCTTCAACCCCACCAAACCACTCTTCCTCAGCAGAATCCCAGCCTATTTTCCTGCCCATCTCTGACATTTTGGGCATCCCTGTTAGAACGATCTTTGCCCCTGCCATCTGGCCAATTCTTGGATCTCTCTGGAAAAGCCCCATCCAAAGGATGGATCCTCTGCTCACAGTGCCCACATTAGATGCTCATAGGTGGAATCCTCTCCCCTTCCATCTCAAAGCCCTCCCCTTCCATTACATGGGAGGGATGAGGTATCTGCACTGGAAATCAGGCATCACTGATAATATCAGACTGGGAAACTGAGGCCTGGAGAGAGGCATCAATAGGCCTGAGTCACAAAGGCACACTAGTCAGGCTAGCCCAGAACTCAGAATTCTTTCCGCTGCTTCACTGGCCTCTCACCCTCCCAAGTGGTGAAACTCGGGACCCTCTGCCCTTCAGCAGAGCTGTGAACCTCAGCAAAGACACAGATTTACCCTAAGGGTCACCCTGGCCTGGGCATGCTTGGTTTTCTGTTTCAAAGCCCCTTTCCATCTGGCTCCAATTTGGGAAGCACCAGGGCTGGAAGCACCCCTCCTCCTCCTCAGAGAGCAGGAAGTCCTCACTCACCCTTTCTGGCCTCTTCTGGATGCCTAAATCCAGTGAGTATTCACCTGTTCACCCAGGTGATCCTGTGCCTGTTCAATCAGCCAGCGATCCCTGGACAGCCCCTGTGCGCTTGGCCCTCCAGGCCTGAGGACACCACGGGAGGGGGACAGCAGTGACACTCCCTTGTTCTGCCTCAGAGGGGAGAGGTAGTGCTGGGTGTCAGCGAGGGGAAGCCGGCGTCCGGAGCAGCTCACACCTTCCTGGTCCCTTCTCAGGGCAGGGACGCTGTCTGACTTCAATTTGCTTACTGTGGTTCTCCAGCCTGCTTGGCACAGCGTTACTTGGGGATGCTTTTTAAAAATACAGAGCCCCAAGTCCTACTCTGCAGATTCTGTTAGGTCAGAGATAAAGCCCAGAAATCTGTTTCAAGGCTCCCTGGTGACTTGGATGGAGTTGGGTCAAAGGCAGATGCGGTGAGAGTGTGGGAGGAGGGGAGGCAGGCCTTTGGAGCTGAGAAGCTCGGAGAGAATGGAAGTCTCAGCCCTCCCCTGCGGACGCTGAGCCCCAAGCAGAGGCATGTGGCCTTCCCAGCTTCAAAGCTGGGCCCAAGTCCGGTTTACTCCAGTCAGCTGGAAAAGTGAACAAAGGCAGATGGACCAGACTCCAAACTGACCCGGTCGCCAGCAAAACCAGGCTCTCCTCAGCCTTGACGCCCTGCTATTGACACTGGAGACAGGTTACTCCCCACCCCCCCCATCCGCACACAGCACCCATTGAGCAACGCTCTGACCTGGACCCAGGCCAAGCCCAGGCTCATCAGTCCACAGTCCCAAGGTCAAAGAAGGCGGGCTGCCCGGGGACAAGAGGACTATGAGCTCTGACACCCCCACCCCACCCTCACTGCCTGGTGGAGAGGGCTTTGTGCCTCTCACAGCAGTGCCCCCCACCCCCAGAGCAGCTGCCCAGCACATACCTCCCCGCCCCCGCCACAGGAACCCCCCACTCCCATTGCCATAAGTGCCTAGACTGACAGAGATGAGAGGTCAGCAGGGTACCTCCTCTGCTGGACTCTGCCTTTCCCAGAGTCTTTGCCCATCTGTCTGGGTCTCTACACTCCTACCACATCTGCCAGGCCAAGAGCCCTCCCTCTGCTCTTTACCCCCCATCCAGGGGTGCCACCCACACCAGGCACCCTGGCCCATGGCAGTCATCTGAGTGAAAGGGGTAAGATGACCTGGGAAGACAGCTGCTACCGTAGGTCTCTACAGATCCTCATACACTTGACCCCAGATCTCAGTGCCCGCCCCGGCTGCCCCAGGGCAAGGATCTCTCAATGTTCTGGCGGTCAAAAACCACAGCTGTAGCTTGCCCTTTCTGGCCCCCACACTTGCTTTAGGCCCCAAGGGGAAAGGTATTAGTATTTTCCTCTTTGGGCGCTATGGCTGCAGGCCTGTGGGGGTGGGGTGGGGGACAGTGAGACGGTGAGGCCCCCTCCCCTTTGACCCCCTCCCTCTGCAATCTCTGCAGTCTCTGCGACCCTCTTCTTTGGTCCCACCCTCTCCTTGACCTAGTTCTCCCTCAACAGGCATTCTAGCCCTGAGTTCCCTGTGCTCTGCACAATCCAGTCTCTCACGGATTCCCCTCAACAGACCAGTCTCTCCCAGGCCAGGGGTCCTTCAGATCCCCCATCAGGGCAGGGGACAGGGAGCAGGGGAAGCCTCCCTGTTGTCTCCTCACAGGGTTCTCTGCTATTGTGGCTTCCCACCCCCACCACACACTTGGCCATAATTGTCTGATCCACCGAGAACTGATTACCACCTTCCGGCTCCCCATCCCCCCTCCAGCAAGCTGGCCATTTCCAGTCAGGCCAGAGACCAGAGTCCACCCCCAAAGCCCTCCTCCGGATGAAAGGAGACAGCCAGCCAGCGGCAGCAGTAAGTGTTGCTCAAGTCCAACTAGGTTGAAACTTCCTAGGGTCTCCTCCCTCTTTCCTCTTTGGCCTGTGTTAGCTGCTGGCTAAGGTAGGAGTGGGGCTGGATCCACTGAT